GGGGTCTGCAGCAATCTGTCTGGCCCTCCTCTGGATCCAGTCAGTGTATAGTGAGTCCAGATCCAGAAGAGGACTCCCTACGATGCCCTGAGCTGTTCTCACCACCCGGATCAAATCCTTTCTGTCCTGCGCAGTGCAGCTCCCGTACCACACTGTCGCACTGAGACAGAGGATGCTCTCTACTGTCGCTCTGTAGAAGTTCGCAAGCAGCTGAGAGGAAGGACCAGCGTGTTTCAGCTTCCTGAGGAAGAAAAGCCTTTGCTGGGCTTCCTTCACCAGGTAGGATGTGTTCAGAGACCAGGTCAGGTCAGATGTGATGTGGATGCCCAGGAACTTCATGTTGTCCACTTGCTCCACCACCTCCCCGTGTATGAGAAGAGAAGCATATTTTGTCTTCCTGGACCTCCTATAGTCCACAATGACTTCCTTAGTCTTGTGGGTGTTCAGGACAAGATTGTTATCTGAACACCACCTTGTCAGGTGCTGGATCTCCTCTCTGTAGTGAGTCTCATCATTGTTTGAGATGAGACCCACTACGGTGGTGTCGTCTGTGAACTTCACAACTGTATTTGTGAGATTAATGGCTTTGAGCAAAGGTGACACTGTACTGTCCAACCATGGTTTCTGGTTTGGAAAAACCCTGATGGACTTTGTAGGTAGGACACCATCAGTACAGAACTGCACATAGTCCAGAACAGTTGATGTATAAGCCTCCAGGTCAGAGCCCCTTTTGAGCCCTTTGTCCTGGCTCATAACCACGTTCTACCTATGGACCACCTATATCACATTTCTTATCATGCCCTGTAATTAGAAACTGCTATGGTACACAATCCCTTCAGATCTCAGAAATATATAGTAACTGCCACCAAAGGTGCAGCAGATGCACGAGCAGACTGCAATTTAACATCTCTGTCAAAGAAAACATCCATTTTGTCTATGCACAGAATCACAGAACTGTGGAAAACAGTCATACTGTTCAAGCACGGCAGCGTATTAAAATGCATTCATTTTTAACTTGAAACTGGACCACACTTGCTACAGTGACCAGTTTCACACCATGATATTCAGTTGGCTGTCTGGATGCCGCGGTAGCCAGCGGTGCGGACCGCCCGATGAGCACCTCAGTTTGGGCTGGGATCACAGGGGGCCGAGCAGGGCTCAGCCACACTAGAAATACTTAAAATAAAAGAATGTGTTTCATCATCACAACACACCCTATGACACCGTCCCTTTGGTCCTGGCCTTACATGTGCGTGATCAAAAAAGAGCTCTCACAGCTTGAGTAATGGTACAAAGTCAGTTCTGTAGACAAGCAGTAAAGCTGAACATGGAGCTGCTGAAGACTTTAAATGTCTGTGTATTGAGACTGAAGTCTGACAGACTAACACAGCTGATATCACCACACAGCAAAATATAAACCAAAAGAAACTGTAGTACAAAGTGGGTCTAGAATGTTTGATGTTAGACACAGTGCTGCCATCACATAGTCTGACTATAAACACTGACAAAACCTTTCAACTGCAAAATGTTGATTTCCATTTTTGGTCTGTCATTCTACCAAATGGTAAAGGATGTACAGTATTTGCAAAAGCAAATGGGTGACACAAGCCAATAAATAAACAAGTTGGTCAAGAGAAAACCAAATGGCAACACTTGTGATAATCAGTGGGCTGCTTTGGTCATTTCTCAAACACAAATATCACACCGTCTCAAACAGCAGCCTTTGTACAGTTAAACATTTCAGTAGGCAATAATTTATCTTAAATTGAGTGCGTACATACAGACAATAACAAATGTGTAACTGTCTAAAAACCGTATTAGCGAACTGAACTTCTCTGATCTTAACACAAGCGTTGAGTGCACCATCCCGGAAAAGAGAAGAAACATGCTTTTCACAATTTTATGACATATAATCAACAAAACAATTCATCAAGAGAATAATCTGCAGATTAATCTCTAAAGCAAACAAGAAACAATACACATTCCTGGCCACAGTTTCCGGCAATTCCAGTGACCAACTGAGCAAGTGCCAAGAAACACAGCAATGCACTAAGACGACAACTGCTTTCAGTAAATCTAAATATGATGGGGAGAACACATTCTATACTTCTCTAAAACCTAAAGGAAACAAAATCTGAAAGAAAAAAAAAACACTGAATGTAAACATAACTATTTACTTATGAGAAAACTCCACAGGGCAAATAAAAAAGTTTCTGTAAACAGGGCTGGACCTGAAATAACTTTAGACCAGGTTTATTTTCTAAAAAGTACAGGAAGCACAGCATAATTAAGTGGTGTTGAGGAGTGCTGCCTGTATCACTGCTACATTATGCCAATCAGTTCTCGGTCATGTCTCCAGTATAGCAGAGCTCACATTTATCTTGGCAGGAGCCGTCACAGGTCCTTCACCAGACTTCTGCCAGAGCAGCCTGACATGATGTGGATCACTCACAGTGCAAACTATGCATCAAGGCAAACACATAGGATTTAAAATAAGCTAATTAAAAGATAATCTTCACAAATTCTGGAGGTAAACCACATGCAGCTTTCAGAAACATCATAAAGACCTTGGCTTTCCCTTTGTACTCTGCAGCACAGATCAGCTGTAGCTGTCCTTAGAGGCCTGCGCATCTTACCAGAAACAGTATCACACCACAAACACTTTGTACTGTCTGCCAGCTGCGGGTTTCACTCTTCCGCTGACCCCATACAGAGTCTTTAATACAGATGTGATCACACAAGAATGAATGAAATAACAGTATCAACAGAGAGCTGCAAAAGAGGAACATTTTGTGCTTTGCTGAAAAGAGGCAAAAACCACTTCCTTTCAGTGAATGAGAGAGCTGTCCAAGAAACCACACGGTTTCAGAAAATACCACCCACTCAATCGCTACCTTGCTGCAGCCTAACGTTGCAGCACCTTGTTTATCTTCTACTACAATAAAACCATATGTGCAGAAAGCACTTGCTCTTCACAGGAAAAATCCCACCATGTCCCGCCCTCACTGCCTCCTGGCTTCGACAGAGGCCACCGATCACAGAATTAAGACAACCATAATCCACACAAACTAATTCAACCCTGTATCAGACAGCAACATTACCCAGTGATGTTTCCTCAGTTACTGTAGTTGTCTTTCTAAATTAATCCCCGGCTTCTTCACAGAGTCAAACTAAACTGGCAGTACTCTATTCTCCAGACAGCAAAGAGCCTGAAAGCAGCTTATTAAGTTAGGTTATTGATCACCAAGAAAAACTGCTCATTTAAATGTCACAAAGAGAAAAGGAAGGAGTATTAATATGTATCGACAGCTTGCACATGCTTTGGGTTCCGTTTAAATGTCACAGTGTCTCTTTTGAACACAGCATGAAGCTTATGTCCAATGGCCGGCAGGGCCTGACTGGCCATCAGAGGAATTCAATTCAGTCAGACTGACCCCAAGGTTTAGTACGGGAGCTGTCCCAAAGCATGCACCGGGATTACCGGGTGGTGAGTCCATCAATCAGAGAATAAAAATAATTCAGCCACCAGTTCCAAGGCCACTCACAGTTTGCCTGCCCAGCCAGTGCTGAAGGTAAGTCTCAGCACAGTGCAGAGATGTTTGCATTTGCATCTGTGAATGTGTGACCAAGTGTGTGTGTGTGTGTGTGTGTGTTTAATCAGCCATGTTTGTGAGTGTGTGTATGCCAGAGCGGGAAAGTGATTCCCCTGATGGGCATGACAGATGGGCAGGGAGTGGCTCAGCTCATTCTGTCAGACACCTGAGATGCACAATGGCGTGACGGGTGTGTCGGTGCGGCGCCTGCGCTCACCTCTCATCTCTCTGACACAAGCCACCTTGTTTATATTCATGCACTTGCTTCTTACTAAACTAGGCTAGGTGCTAACGTTACATTGCTCTGCAAACCACAACAGGAAAAAAAATGCCTATATAACTGGAATATGTCTGTTTTGCATCCTGCTGTTTTATTACCAAAGTTCAACACACAAAACATTCTCAGTTTTAACAAGAGCTGACATTGATTTCACTGATTAAACTGATAAGCTGCAGCCGATTATATCAACTTTTAATGCTACGTGACTGCAAACACAGTTCTAAGCAGATTCAAGTCTGCACAGAATAAAACGTTGGTTGCAGAGGATCACAGAGCAGCCACCTCACAAACCTCACTTCCTGTGGACCCGAGTATCAAACACGTTGTGTTAAGCAAACAATATAACCACACAAATATTTTCAAACAACATCCAGTCACAGTGCACAAAAGAATGGTCCAACCTTTAGAAGCGTGCAAAAAGACCAAAATAAAATATGGCTCTCTGCAAGCCAAAGATCAAGGCGTCCCTCTACATCCCAAAGTGGAGCTTTTGCAGATCAACACCCACACACTGGTGAGTTTTCTCTGGCAAAACGGCCTCGCTGATCACAGCACACCGGTTTTAACAGATGGAATCTCTAACTGCTCTTTCCTGCTACACATCTGTCACTGCAAAGTGAGCACACAAAGCATGGGAACACAATATGAAAAGATGACCAGTCAAGATGAAAGGGAAGAGAAAGTGTGTACAACTCAGGTCTGAACTGTGACTTGTTGCCAGCAGACATAAAAAAATAAACTAGGTCAGAAAACCTGTTGCACCACCAACTTGACTCCAGTGTGTTGATTTACTGTCATCAAGTAATTTCAGTTGTCCACATGAGATGCAGTTATGAGGACATGTTTTTCTATGCTGCTAAAATGTGAAGGAAGGTACAGTGCTCTTAGTACAGAGCCAAAACATTTTATTTTACCGTATATTAAAATTGATTTGTTTGATGATCCACATTTTAAAATGCATACCTACGTATCACTCTGTACGTTTTCTGGCATGCAATTTGATTTGTAAATGAAAAGCTGGTACAACACACTACGACATATGAATCAGCCACCTTCATGCTGCTGTGCTCACATCTCTCAGCAGAGAAACTGCAGCCTCTTAATATCTGGTTGAAAACATTTCCTACCTTGATGATCAGTTGTCTTCACTTCAGGGTCGTTCATTTACACTCGATCCCAGCTTTCATGCCAACGTAGGTGTCAGGGAACTCTGTAATCAGAACAGATTATCTGTGACTCTTTCATATCTTTGCCAACAAAAGAAAGCAACATCCATAGTGCCAAGAAAACAGGTTTCCAGAGTGACCCGGGGAGACAGGAGCTGATAGCTGTAGCTCGAGCACAAGGAAACCCACATGGCTACTGCCAAGACAGAGAGGAATGGGAGGAGAGTTCAAGAGGAAAATCCCCAAAGGAAGTGCAAGGGTTTCTTGTCTATGCAAATGAATGTTAGATTTTCATGCAACCAGATTACCACTAAAAGGCTTAGTGGTCTAATCCTTTAGCCAAATAAGTTGTCTAACCTGAGGCTCAGGCTGACCAGAGGAATCAAAAGGTATGTGAACCTTGCTATACTTTGAAAAGGCCACGAGTACACAGTATCTGTGCACTGCAGGTATTCCTTTAATCATCCCTCTGGCTCTATTACTGTCCATACAACCAGGCATTTTATTTTCACCTGTGGTGCTACTATCATAAAAGCAAACACCAGGTGATATTAAACAGAGTTGGTGATTCATTTCAGAAGCATTATTTGTTGCTTTTTTGAATTTTTTTTCATCCCAATGGCAGTGAGGCCATTAAATGCACTGACAACATAAAGAAAAAACCCGTTATCTGTGGCAGCAGCAGGGCTGAAAAAAGCCTGACCAGTAACTTTACTCGGTCTGAGCAGAACCACTGGACGGCATACCTGGCTGTCAGCCGAGCTTTCTACTCTGTACGTGCACTCAATGCATGAGACAAGAGGCTCCCATAAGGCCAGGCAGGCAGATGTGTTACCGCCGTTTTACAGCTAAAGCTAGCGAGCTATGGCAGAGCAGGTACCACAGCAGCTTTCAGTCACAACCACAGGCCATATTTGAGAAGGTTACAACTGAAAAAAAATTGGTTGCTGCAAGAAGTAAAGCCAGAATTAGCATCAGTTGTGGCTTTTGAACGACGGCAACGACCAAGGGAACAAAAGGGGCTGAAAAGTGGCGCCATGGTGGCGGCCGTGTTTCTGCTGGACAGCTAATTATCAGTTTGTTTTGTGGAAGGGGGGAGGTGTTTTCTTGAAATCTGTAAGTAGTGTTGTGGGTTTCAAAAGAAGTCGGAATAAAAAGGTGAGATTTCTTCTGCTACTTGTTTTGAAAATCAAGCTTCTTCTTGCTGGTCTTTCCAGGAGCACCAACTATACCTTTAACAAAACGAGCTCAATCACAACCATTTTACATAATTTTCAACCAAAATTGCAGAAACATTTCCAATCCCAGCTACTTTATTTTACACTTTAGTGAGAGGTGACGGCTTGTTGTGAAAAGTATCTTTTCATTGCTGACTTCTCCCGACATCAAGCCAAGAATAAGAAAACTTAATTTCCCGCTGTTTTCTTGTCAGTTTGTCAGAGTATGTCTGACAAATTGCTATGCGAGTCCTGCACATCAAACTTTAACAGGCAGACTGTTGCATCCTGTTATTGAGTCTTTCTTGTTAGATGACAACATCTCCTGAAATTTGACTGCAGCCAATGTTAATATTTTCTAATCGGATGTTTGGGACTGAGATGTTTGTCAAAGACTCATTATCTTTAAGTGCTCCTGCCACACTTTATTCCAAATATGCTTTTAGCATTTTTTATGTTTTTCTCTTGTAGAGCTGCAACAACTGATCGACTGGCCTATTAGCTGATCGACAGAAAATTAATCTGCAACCTTTCTGGTCAATCAATAATTGTCATTTTTTTAAGCAAACAGCTCAAAACTAGTTCCAGCTTCTCACATATCAGGATCTTCTGCTGTTCTGTTCTGTGCCATTGCAAATTGAATATCTTCGGGTACTGGACATCTGAGCAGTGGAAAATACAGAGACAATTATCTGTCCTAGTCTCTTTACAGCTAACATATGACTGAACTGTATCATTTTACTCATTAGAGAATCATCTTGCTGTGTGGGATTTAATGCTGAGCGAGTTATGCGGGGACCCTGGCTGCAGTCTGTTTCAAAGAGCTGCTGTCATCCCTACAACTGGGAGAATGGCCTCAAACGAGACATGTTGCAGGATACACCGACACGTTGCCAAATCACCCGCTGAATCACATTCATCTGTTTGCATATTATGCAAATCAGCCTAAGTTACTTTAAGTGTCATTTCCCTTTCTGGCATTTAGCTGATGCTCTCATACACACTGCCTCAACAGAAGAAGAAGAATAGGGAGCATCAATTTAATTTCCTTTATTTGTCTTTTTTTTAACAGATGAGTGCAGCACATATTCCATTAATGCCCATTCCAGCCCTAATCCAATTCATTGTTCTTCCACAGCTCGGTGTGTAGATGTCATTTCCTTTTCATTTATTTTTAGTGCAATTTGCTGGTTTGCATAGTTTAAAAGCATAGCTGTTACATGGCCTCAGACACACACATATACTCTCACTCACACAGTGCTGTAACTGATCCAGTGTGGAGATTGATCAACTGGGCGGCGTCCAAATTAAAGGCCGTCCTCTGCAGACACGCCAAGCATAATAATGCTCTCCTCTCTTTGCACTTTTCCTTGGCCAGAGGACGCGACAGTGAAAAAATGCACGAGAGAAAGCAAGAAAAAGGAGAAAAACGCTGTGACACCGATCACAAAAAAAAGGAATGCCTGGCTCTCAAACATCTAACCCATTTTCTGCTCGTTATCCCCCGCTCCTCCTCCTCTCTCTCTAATTTCCCTCCTTCCTGTAATCTACAGTGAAGAAGCTGAGTCCAAGTCAGCGGTGCTGCAATGAAAGCCTGCGCACAGCAGCCTGATGGCAACACAATAAACAGAACCAGAACACAGAGCATGCTAAGCTTGAATTGACAACAGATTTAATTCTCTCTGCAGGTTTTTATGGGAATCTGTGTGTGTGTGTGTGTGTGTGTGTGTGTGTGTGTGTGTGTGTGTGTGTGTGTGTGTGTATGTGTTTCTGAGGCAGACACATGCACTCCATATGTTCATCAGTATGCATAATGAGAGACGGCTCAATAATCAATTATTCATTCGCTAGAAATACACTGGTACTAAAACCAGTTGCACAAAGGCAAAAAAAATGATGATACATATAACATTACATACAATATTCTGGCAGTGCTGGGGCATACAAGCATTTTTACATCATATACAGTAAGAGTGCACGCTCTCATCTTGGTTGGTCTGTGTTGTCAGGTTCTTTTCATTATGCTTTGTTTTAGTGTGCAGGTAATGTTTGGTTTGCATTAGCTTCTGAGTACAGCACACCGAGTAAGCAGTAAACAGCGAGGCTGATGTCAACGAGATAAAACCACACACAGTTAACACCGGGAGCCGTAGTGCATTGCTTCCTGTCAGTCTGTTGTGAGCAGCAATTTGATTCCTGTGTGGGACTGGTGGACTCTGCCACTAACAGTGAAACTATAAATTGAATGGCTGTTGCTGAAAAATACCAAGCAAACAGTAACAAGTTTGATTTAAGGAAAACGTGACTTTAATGACATGCAAATAAACAAAAACTGCATGGTCACACTGCAGGATGAAACAAGGAGAAGGACTTTGCAGGCAGAGAAAAGAAGAACAGGGGTCAACTTC